CTCGTTGTCTTGCCGGTTTTTGATCGGGGATATACAGTATTTGAAAAAAAGGCATTATTCTGATCCTGAACGTTTTGCGCTATAGCCAACATTAGTCATAAAGTTCTAAATGCGACTCTGAAATGTGTCCCCAATTTAAAAAAATACTTAAGAATAATCCCCAGATATGGCAACCATACGAGGGCTTTCGAACGAGCTTTTTTTCAGCTGCTTGCACTTTCTGCTACGAAAACGACTAATTAAGTCAGAGGTTCGCGCAGACAGCAATTTTTTGTAAAATAACATCAAAAAATGACAAATGGACTCAAGTCGTTATTGGTGTCCTTGGCGTGAAGTCGAATCTAGAAAGAAGGGTTACAGTAACTTTCCACAGGACATGACTCCAGAAGTATCCAGAATTGAATTCTCTTGGAAAAGTAGGGTAATAAGCAAAAGTATACAATGAGGAAATAAGGGATACACGGGTATATGCGTTCCCGAACCTGCATCTTACAAAACGTGATCTTAGCAGCACGCCTGATGGACGCTACTCGGCGCCCGTTTTTTGGTGGAAATTGGTGCAAATCAGGGAAATTCAAGCTGCTTCTAGCGACTGAGCAAGTTAAAGAAGGAGAAGTTTTACAGTGTCGATGCACGCAGAGAAAAAGGCTTTTGGAAAATTAGGTCAACTTTCAATTAATTAATTCAAGACGCTACCACCAAATGTTGCACGCGTGCGCATTCGACAAGTTAGGACACTTTAGACGACATATAGGAGGGGATAAGATAGCTTCCTTATATGACTGGTTAAAAGGGTGAGGCGTTTGTGAAATAGCAGCGCACAACACGGTCACCGCATTTCCACTATGAAATGTTCACCTGAGCCAACTTGAATGTAAATAAATAGTCTATTGAAATCAAAAGAGTAAGATGTTTATAGTTACATGTCTGTAGTTATATGATACTCACGAGTGGATCGTAGGTATTCTTCTACTTCACGCAGGAACTCGGCAGCAAACAGAGACATCTGAATGTTCTCCGCTTCCGAAAATTGTGTCCGTAGGGTGGCTAGACTGAGCACACTGGAGGAATGAGACAGGGTCGGATCTCGTTCCACCACCGTCACGGTGGTTCGAGCGAGGAAGCGAATCCAGTAGGCCACGGCCCAACCAACCACCCCGCCTCCGATCACCAAGACATCCGTCTGCTTTGGAACCTGATCTTCACGGACTAAAGTGAGTGAAGTGAGAAGTCAAAAACTGCCAGGCTTACAGTGGAAATCCGGATCGGCAAACGAGAAATCGCTCGGCAGACGAGCGGCAGACGGAGGGGGCGCGGAAGGCGGGCGGGATGAGAACTTTGAGGTGACCACCGTTCCTCGAGACAGGATCCTCATAAAGGACTGGGGTAGTAAGCGATACATCCCGCGCGCCTCTGTAGGAAATAACACAAAAAGGTACACCTAGAGGACTTGCCTGTATTTATGTTTCCCAAGTAAGCATTTATTTTTATGTGAACACTAAAGATCCTTACATAATGTTGTCGGAAGAGTAAGTCAAACGGGAGTAGGAGTAATAAGTAATCTCTCATACTAGAGAGATACATACTCATTCTAGACAATTGAATGATGGGCACATCAATAATAAACGAATAAATTCGACCATGAAGCGGGACGAAAAAAACATTTGAAGGTATTTTGCTGTTCTGCAATCAGAGTATATCGCATGATAGTGTATTTGGCTTAATAACCAACGAACCCGTGTCGAAAACTCGAGTCTCCCAAGCTTAGGGTGGGGCAAACAAGCAAATAGTCCTCCTAGTTTCCCATGCACTGATCTGAACTATGCGACCGCCTGCATAGTACATGTGCCCAAGACAAAACGCGACGTGTGCATAACGTCTTGCAGTAATATCAGATTGGCAAACCCCAGGCCTAAGGGACAGAATACTTCTGATGTACATTCGACAGGATTTTAGCTTAAGGTTTAAGGACTGGAAAACCTGGCTCAAAGATCAGCTGAACCCGAGTTTGAACCCTTGGGCTTTCAGGAGATGGTAATCACAGCATAACTGCTCGGTTCAGCTGCCTAAGCTGTTGTTCGCAATAAATCAGAAACGAATAAAAAATGTATAAGTTTTATATGGGCAATCAAACAATGGATTAACTGGAATAGTCGTCTTTTTAATTCTATGTCTAGTTTAGGTAATACACAAGAGTTTTTAAATTTAAGAATGACCCCAGGAACATCTGCAAAGTGCAAATTTCGCAATATGCTTTGTAAACTTAGGATGTTGCGATTTATAACGCACGTTATTTTGTCAATAGGAGTAATTTTCAGTGGACCTGCAGAATCCACCGACCGTCAAAAATGTAAGAGCCACGTTCGTGAAGCACTATGCAAGATAGGTAATGTGTGACTTCGTGAATCCAGAACCAGCAAATTCGTTTTATTAAGAATGCCGGCACTGATTTGGTACGTGCATAGAGGACCATATATTCCTGCGAACTACGCTCATGCGAGGCAGGATTGAGCTTCCATGAAGGTATACAGCCTTACACAGCAAAACAAGCTTAGATTCGAAGTGGGAGATTTATTCGGCGAATGTGTA